TACACAGAGTTACATGACAGGATCCTGCAAATACGGAGACTAGCAGGAGTCTGATTTCTTACATTCAGTCTGGTGTCTTGTGGTATTGCTATGACTTTACCATGACTTTATTGCACTATTTGTGCATCTTGACTTCTTCCAGTCCCTCAAATGAATCTGTTCATGCAGACAGCAGCAGGCACGTGCAATGTCATTGCCCTCAGCTTGTGCACAGATGTGGGAATCTGCTCCTACAGTTTAGAGAAAGTCTGGGAGTTTGCCTTGACCTTCTTCATAAAAGAAAGTTCAGAAACTAGGAAAATTACGAAGAAAATGAAACATAACTAGAAAATAGCCTGAACACCCAGCTCAAGCTCCAGTGATACCCTGATACACCCAGTGAGTGTTCCCAGGCATTCATTTAATAGGCAATTAGCTATGTTTGTTTAGATGTTGCCAAGAATGCAGGGGCAGCTCTCATTAACCAAGAAAGATTACATAGTTTTGTTTACATCTGGAACTCAGGGTACTTTTTAGGGAACAATCCATGGGGCAGTTTCTCGCAAAAAAAGCCCACCACTGTTTGTAACATTTTCCATCCATTTTATACTCACTTAGCAATGTAAAAATGGTAAACCCACACATGCAGATCTGTGATATGATGGGAGAAGACCTCAGGTTGTAAAAAGTAGGCATTGGTAACCCAACTCTCTCCATGAGACAGCATCCATCTGCATTTGGGACGGTGGGGCAGTCTGACCCATCTGCCAGCGGAACCCACATCTGGTAAGTGCCTGACAAGGTGGAGGCGGGTACTTGATGTGTCCTCACAAAGGGAAAATTTTCATTGGAGTCAAATTCAAATCAAATGGAATAAAGTCAAATAATTTCTCAGCTGGAAGCTAAGAATGTCTCCTGCTTTTGGAACAGAGTATATAGATGTAAGTATGGCAGAGGCCAGGCAAGATGGGGTAGATAAAATATATTACAAAGATGCTCTGGTTCTGCCTCCTTCATAGAATCTGTAAAGCTGTCAATGTAATTCCTGTTTATAGGAATTCAGAAGTCTAAATCTGAAAGATCAGCTTCATTTCTTATTCATGCACCACCCTCAGCAATGTTGGAAGCTGCTGCAGCCACACTCATTTTGGAGAAGACACTGAGCTGGAGATGTAAAACTGACTGTTGTCCCGGGCAGTCGACACAGAGCTGTGGATCTGCTGACATAATGTATCTGCTTTAATTTGTGGGTTTCATGTCATCATCTCGGTCTCGACATTTTCTGTATCTGCCACAGCTAGAACTGGCCTGGTAATAACGTCAAAAGGAAAGGTGTTGCTTCTGCCATGTCTGCAGCAGCGCTGTGCACGAAGATGAAAAAAAATTGAACATGGGGGGAAAAAAAAGAAAAAACAAAAGGGACGTGCAGAGAACAAATGGCCAGGAGGCCTGCAAGCACCACAAATTCAGTGTGAAAAGCTGTCTGTTAGTGCCATCTTGTGGGCCTGGGAGCCACCCCCGCACCGAAGAGCCAAAGCTCTTCCCACCTCACCCCATCCTGGCACAGGGATCTTCCATCAGGGGACACTGCTGAAGCTACAGCAAGCTCTTCCCCCCTCACCCCATCCTGGCACAGGGATCTTCCATCAGGGGACACCGCTGAAGCTACAGCAGATATTTCCATCAGGGGACACTGCTGAAGCTACAGCAGATATACAAGGTGTGATACCCTACCTGCTGTCACTCGAGCAAACAAGGACTCTGTGCTGGGGAGAGGCACCACCCCAGCACTTGCCTGGGGCCCTCTGATCTTGTCTGCCACATCTGAACAGAATCCAGGCTGCAAAGTCGGCACAAGAGATGAGCAAGGAGACTGTCCAAATGTCTAGCTACACATTTACAAGAGGATTTCTGCCACTCTGAAAGGCTCATGTCCTCATTAAGTGCCTGAAGCATCAGGAGGCAGAGTATTAGTTACGGTTCCTACCCCAGGCTCTTCTGAGGCAAGATGCAGCCTCTAAGTTGGAGGTGAGGGTGCACTATAGGCAGATGGGTGGGCAGGCAGACTGCTTTCTGGCCCAGTTTGGTTGCTGGGGGTAAGGAGAAAGGAGACACGAGAGAGACAAAGGCGAAGTCAGTGGCAGCAATGGGCCAGTTATCAAGAATTATATAGATGTGATAAAGTTGCTGTCTTGGGAGCTGCCTCTCATGCTCCCCCTGGGTGCCTGGCACCTTCACACCTTGTGTCCAAGCCTGTGCAGATGGGAGGGAGAGGATGCGATGCAGAGGCTGAGGGTGGGAGGACAGTGATGGAGGGTGAGTTGCACAGGGAATCAGAATGCCTTCCAAGCACCCACTGCCATTCTGTTTAGATCCATGTAGCCTTGAGTTTCCTACACAGAGTTACATGACAGGATCCTGCAAATACGGAGACTAGCAGGAGTCTGATTTCTTACATTCAGTCTGGTGTCTTGTGGTATTGCTATGACTTTACCATGACTTTATTGCACTATTTGTGCATCTTAGAGATGGATATGATCTTGGGTTAAGGATTCTGAGAAACAATTAATCCACCACAACCCTTGGTGTGTTGTTTCGGTGGTTAAATGCTCACACAGTTAAAAACAGCTACACCTTATTTCGGAGCTCAGTAAGTCTCAGCCTGTGCTTCGGATATTTGGTAATCCTGTGCTTTTTCTTATGATTTAACCTGTCTTTTCTAGGCTAAAGCATTGCTAACAGTCAAGAATCTTTTCTGTACGTGAGTCCAATATCGGCACATTGCATGGTTAAATATCCTTCTTTATAGCCACAGGGCTACAGGAGGAGCTTCTAAAACCTCTCCAGGTACATTTAATTGGGGAGGGGCAGGCAGAGGGACGACTATCTTTTTTCAAAGAAATCTCTTTCTAACACTGTCAGTCCCCACGGTTACTCCCATGGCTGCAATCTCTCTTTTCCTATCCCCAGATATTATGCTTCCCTCATTTCTTCTCTGCCCGAGTTTCCTTCAGCTGTCCTCACCCCTTAGGCTCTTCTCTTTCAGCTCTGTACTCTTCTCCCACCTGCAGCTGTAACATCTCACCTGGTTACAGGCTTTATAGGAAGCAAATGCTCATGTTTATACCCAGGTTAAAAAGGCAACACAGAGTCTGGACAAGTATTTATTTCCTTAACAAGTAGATGAGGCTGAGGAAAGTGAATCTAAACATACTGATAAAGTAAGCATTTTACACAAAGCAGACTCTTAACCTGGTGTATGTTACCAGCCTTGTAAATAACATAAAGTCAGTGTGCAATGGGTGACAGATGTGGAGTAACTAAACCGTGCAGTTTCTTGGCAAATTTACGTACATTATAACATTTGAAATGTTGTATTTACACAGGTGCTCACATAGTGAAGGCATCCCACCTGAAAGACCTCAGCCCTTTGTAAGAGTTAAACTCCTACTGCGTTCAGTGTTACAGCAGTATCCACATTCAATTCTGTAAGACCAGAGGCGTTCTTGTGTCTGGTTTGTAATAATGTTTACATTTTACAGGACACTACACTCAAAATGAAATATCAACAACACAGTTATGACCTTCTTATTTTGGCAGATGTTTACTGGCTTAAAATCTGGGTCTGTTTTTAGTGCTATTTAACATGCTTCAGATTTCTAAGAGTACACATCTTTCATTTTACTAAAATCCTAACTCAAAACCTTGAATTTTGATAGAGCAGAGCTCATTGCATTGTGTTTGCTACATAAAATTATATCCCTGTGCAAGTAAGCAGAAGTTAGAACAAGGAGCAACTATCAAAGTCAGTGAATTTCATTGAACAGATCAGGCCACCATTTATACCTCTCCACAGAAATTACTTTTGTCCTTATTAATATCCGGGCCTGCACTCGCTTCAAGCAAAGGCAGAACTTGGAATTGCATGCAGTTGAGTGGAAGTATTTTGGCACAACAGGCAACTCATATGATGATGACAGAAAAGTTGATCGGGTAACAGAAGTATGAAAAAAAAGTAAATTTATAGATATCATCCTGGCATAAGAGGCTGGTACTCTCTTTTTACCTAAATTTAGTTCTCCTTCCGCATTAAGAGAGTATAAAATTACTGAGCCTTTCAGCTACATTCCCATGTTGGAAAAGAGCTGGAGAAGTGAAATTGTATTTATATGTATAAAGTTATAACTCCAAAGAGGTTATAAATAACAATATATTTGTTAGGTGAGTACAGAACTGCTGGATAAAAGTTCAACTTCTCATATTAGTGATGGAAGAACTGTAAATAACTTCATGAAAAGCATAATCCTTTACTAAACCTCTCATGGTCTGGTCACTTTCCCAATGAATCCACTGCCAACAGTGAAACGTGCACCTGGCAATGCTAATATCATATGTCAGCATCTGTGTTAAAATATGTTAATTTAAGTGATTAAGGATTAACAACTTGGCCAACAGGTGCACCTTCAGGTGGATTTTTACCATTCACCAGGCATTCACTCAGATGATGTCTCTTAAGAAAGAACATTGATGAAAAAAGCAGACAGTAGCCTCATGCAGTTGACAAATCTCTTCCCTTTCTAATTCACATGCACCCAACTGACAGGGAGTGCGTGCACCACGGTACAAACAGCATCTAAATTCTGACTGGAAATGTTGGGGACATGCTTAAAACTTCCAATGACTGTTGTCAGGATGGGATCCTTGATGTCCGCTAACAGACAAAAGCCTTGATTCTGATCTTGGATATATCAGCTTGAATCTGAAGTAATTCCTCTGATTAACATCATGGAGAATAGACCATGCCCTACAGCTGCTGGTTGTCTTCAGTAGTCAATGACTGTTTATCATTAACTTCAAAAGGAATAAAACTAGGCCAACATAATTTTTAAAACCCTCCTCTTCATGTGTTTGCGTGATATCTTAAAGGAAAAGCTATGTACAGAGAAGAGTTCCTGTGCTGGGAAGTATTCCTAGCTAACAAAGCCCTGCTTATGTGAAAGAGATGTCTAGCTGTTAGCATGCTATAATGCATAACCGTTGTTATACATGTAATTATTGTAACTGATCCAGTCATCTGCACACTGATATTCTTGATTAGACTGAATGTATGGATGATAAACTGTTTCTTTTCCCAAGAAGTAAGATGGAGCAAGTCTCTGTAAAACAACAGCACTGAATTGGTATGTCAGCTTCCTTCGAATTTTAATGATTTCACCTGTTCTTCCATAATTCCTCAGCGCTCTGGCCATTTTCTGATATGTCATGATCTTGCGGTTTCCTTTTCTTTCTCCCCACAGCTCTGCAAGTTTCTCCTTGTTTTTGGAGACAAACTGGAAGACACCATTGGGCTTATCCACCCATTGGATGCAGTTTGCCATAGCTGGATCATACAGAGACTCATGGAGGTACTCAAACAGGCGAAGTTTTTTTCTACCTATTAAGAAATAAAGTACAAAAGGTCAGAACAGAACTCATACTTGTTTTAAAAGATGAGCATTTGTCTTCTTCCTGGAAAGTATCTTACAGGAAGAAGCATAGGCGAACCTAATACGCTGTCACAAATTAAAAGATCAGTATAAACTATTCAACAGAAGACCAGCAGCAGCAAATGGGATGATAGTTCTGAAACATGTACAGACCTGTGGCGACAGAAAGGGACTTGGTCATTAGAGTTTCAAGAGCAGGTTATTTGGGGATCATGATAAATATCTGGTGGCTTCACTGCATGGTAGGTCTCAGAAGCCACTTTCAGCAGTCTTCAGACACATGCTGTGCAGGTCCACAGTCAAGGAACTCACTGCAGGAAATTACATCCTCAGCGCAGGAAAGAGGTTCTGGAGAGATAATCTGAATGGTTTTGAATAAACCCTTTCCTTGCTTAATCAAAACTCAAAGACTTTGAGATGACTAAATTTTGCCAGGTTTGTTTCAGGAATGCTTTGGGGATGCAAGGTAGTCTCTGATATAAGAAAGGGTGAACAGGAAGAGCAAGCCGGTTTTGAACCATAAACCTCACCTAGTCAATAAGGAGACAGAACTTCTGGTGCAGTGTAGTTTTCTATAATGTACAGAAGTTCCAACTTGCATTCCCATGTAGGATAAAGCAAGTTCAGTACTGCAATATTTGTCAGTCAACTAAGTGCTTCTTCCCACAGGCTCAGCTCTCAGACTGAAGTTTACTTGTGAGGCTTATTTAGTTTCACTTAGGTCTTGGGAGTCCCTCACTCTGAAGTACTTCTAGTTCCCTTCACAAAGCTAAGGGTGACCAAGAAGCTGCTGTAAGGAGGAAGAATTGAAGATGATGAGACAAAGAGGAACATTTTGCAGAAAGGAGAGTCTATGCAGAAGAACGGCTTCCACTTTAACCAAAGTGGAAACAAGCAGCTGCACCTAAAGTTCATAAAGTCGTCTTGCGGGGCTATTTTAAACTAGGAACAGGGGAAAAGTGGCTGTTGCTAAGGAACACTGAGGTCAAGCCAAGACATCTGTTAGGGATGACAGTAATTCTGCATCTAGTGGTAAGGAAAGAGGAGAGAAGTGACAGTCAGACTGGGAAGAAGAAGAGCCTGAAATCAGAGGTACTTTCCAAAAAAATTAATGAAGTTTCATTATCTAAATAAAAATTGGCCTGTGACTAGAGGTACATATTGTACTAGAAGTACATATAGTATTAGCAAGATGAGAAGCTTAAAAGCAAACTGATGAAGGACACTGCCTGGTCACAGTAAATACTTCTTAGTAGGTGACCTCCTTAGGTCCCTTCAACCTGAATTATCCTATAAACCTATGAACTTATAGTAGGACAAGAAAGATCAGGGGAAAGTCTGCAGCCTGCTGAGAACTGAGACTCTGCTGGAAAACAATAGTGTAGCCATGTCTGCAGCAGCATCTGATTTCATGCTGTCTGTCCTCTTGATTCAGCTATGATTTCTGCCCAAGCTTTTATTTTCTAGACACATCATGTCTAGCTGATGTCTTGGTTTGAGAGGGTTTTTGGCCTTACGTGTTAACGCAGCTATATTTCTAGAGCCCAGCAGTTATCTCCATAGTGCTACACAATGTGGATGCACCAGTTTGAGCTGGGCTTAGTTCACAGACCTTAGTACTGCACCTCATTGCATAAGCTAGCAGTGTTCGTTACCAGGCCCTAAACATCAGCCTAAGCTAGCAGGCTAGTGTCTGCAGGTTTCTCATGTGGTCGCTGGAGAGAGGCAGGTTCCTCCAGAAGGTGTTTCAGAGCATCTGCATTACATATCTGTGCTGAATTGTCCCAAAGCAGCCTAATTCTCTCTGGGTGTGTCTAATTCAGATGCATTTCTGAAGTACCTCTCTTGATTGTCTCCACTCACCAAGCTTTAGTTCAGACCATGGGATGGTCTTGACGTGCATGAACTGGACTCCTCTCAGAGGAAACATAACTCAAAGATGCTTTCCAGAAGCATATCTAAGTCACTGCAGCTTTCAGAACTTGTGGACAGCCTAGAGATTACCCTAAATAAACCCTTGTGAAACACTTTAAACACAGACTTTGGGTCCTCAGTACTACAGATGTACTCCTAAAGGGTCACACTGCTTGCTAGTGGACAGAAAACATCTCATGTCTCAATAATAAGCCAAGAGGACTACATTTATTTACATATAGTGGAAATAGTCCCCCAAAACACCGTTTCTGGTTGGAATATCACCATGGACACAAAGAAACCCATAAGAGGACACAAAAAAAAATCCATAAGAAAAGTCAGTTATTCCGAAAATTTATGCAGTATGGCCTTCTGGAAAGGAATAGTGAATTTCAAGTACTAGAATTACAGAATTTAAAAGGAGAGGCTACTCTTCCCATCATCCCAACGAATTTGTAGTAGTAGTAGTAGTAGTAATAGCAGCTATTAAGCAACAGAAACCACATTCTTCAGCATCAATGGGGAGAGATGATACCAAAAACTGACTCCATGTGGTTAAAGTTGACAGGAGGGGATTTCAAAAAGCAGCAAAACCAGGAAGTTCCTCAAAAAGGCCCCACAGTCAAAAGTAGGTACAACAGCTCAGAGTGGAAGCTGTTTAAATCTCATCTAGCAGAGTCATAGAAAGGATGCTGAGTCCCAAACAAAAACCAGAGACTGAATGCAATAAATAAATGAAGTATGGTAATGACCAATGTCCCCTGACCTATTCTTTGCACAATAGATATCTACTCAAATAAAGTCAATCGAAAGGAGCACGAAAATAAATATAAAAATGCACACTGGAAGTGACGAAAGGTAAGAGGTAATTTGAAAAGTAAACAAAGAAAGGCATAAAATCAAGTGCAAAAATATTAATGTATGTGAAAAACCTTCAAGAAAACCACTCCTTGTTGGACCACATAAAATAAGTTATTAAAGTGGATAAAGATGTTGCTGATAGCTAAATTTACTGCTCTGCATCAGACTTTATCCCAGTTGATTTGGAGTGAAACACATCTCTGGGTTGTTTTTCCATGTTCTAAACAAGAGCACAGATTTATCTTACCTTATGACATTTGGCAGATAGGAACTGAACACTAGCAGTTGGATTCTAGTTACGATTAAATGTTAACTTACTTTTTCCCATTAGAAGTAAAAAAAAAAAATTAAGAAAAAGAGAAAGCATGATTTGCCAAGAGATTTTTTTAAGTAACACAATGTACATATCAAGATACACTCCTTCTACACACCTTTCCCTGTTTTTGGCTGGCCAGAAGCAGCATGCATCACCTGGCTTTCTGGAGTATTCGGTAGCGTATGGTAGACGGTCTCGTCTGCATAAAAATCCGCTGCACTGTTCTTCAGGAATGAAGACAACAAAGAGTTACTAATTGAGTACATTCTCTGAGGAAAAAGAAACTTGTAGTAATGAATTGCCCAAAGCCTTCAAAATGCATCCTTTCATCACCTCACCCATGGAAGACTTTTCTCAGCCACGAAGGCATGTTGTGTACTCTACCAGCAACAAGCAGCACCAATTTATGGCCAATGGGAAGGACTGCCCATCAGGGGAGAAATTAAGAGGGAAAACAGAGTAACTGCCTCACTCTGGACCTTCAACCCTTCTGCTGGAAGCAGAGGAAGAAGAGTGGACTCTGCTTCCAGAGTCAGTAAAAGACAAGGGCCACCTGGGCAGTGGTCCCTACAGACTCTCTAGTTCCCGTGTCACATCGTCGCTAATCTGCTGGTTGAAAATGGGCTTTTGTGGAATCTATTTACCTGAAATTATCTCCCCTGCAATATTCATTTTCCATCACTCCTGGAGGCCACACTCCCTGTGTTTTTAAGAGTGAATATGGACTCTGCAGGCTGAAGCTGAGCTCAGAGTCCAGATAATGCTGGTCTTCCCAGCACTATTAAAGCAAACTGCTGGAGAAGAAATCAAAGGCATGGTATTTTCTCACAGAGGCCGAAGTTATGCAGATGCTGGAAGCTGTTGTTCTCTACCTGTTCCTGGGTAATAGAGACAAGCCCTTTTCCCTTCTGTATTAGTACGTTTGTTTGTAGTTGTCATGCTACGTGATGAACCGCAGAGGAGCATGGGAGGCAAACAGCTCAGATTAATCCTAATAAGAGACTATTAAACATGTTCTACAAATATTTCCCAAGGCAGTTTCATCTGAATCATGCCTGGCCAGACTCAATTTCTGTTAGTGTTAGCATAATGATTCATATTAGAAATCACAAGTGGGCAGCCAATTTTCCATTTATGTCTGACTCTCTTCTTAGTTATCAGTTCACTTACAATCACATTTCTCCAGCTGTACCCTGGGTCCTCTGTAGATGGTGCTGCAGAGTAGCTGGGACTGGCTCGGAGGTGGTGGTGATGGTTGATCACAGTCAGGCAGTTTTTGTAACCTGAGAATTAGGAGGATGGAGCAAAACCTGAGTGAGTAAAAGGGAGAGAAGAGGGGGAAAAAACCCAGCAGCAAACAGCCTAATATGCTACTGGGTCTGTCAAAAAACATTTATCCTATGGCTGCCTTCTAGATAATAAACTCTCCAGAGCCAAGATGTTTCATATCAGCACGTTATCCAACATAATCTGTGCTGTTACTGCTAATCACACCCTTAGGCTGGTTTTGTTTGTCTTCAAGATGAAAAGCAATATTTGTTAAGATAAAATGACAGATATTTCATAGTATTATGGAATAATTTGGTTAATAGAAAAAGGAGGGCCAAACAAATCACGAAACGCAATGAATGGGATAATTATAGACTACTATAATACATATATTAGAAAGGAAAAGAGAATGTCGCTCAGTTCTTCTGCCGGCCATTAGTACAATGCAAGTAAGAGTCTCCAATCGCAAATGAAGTGAAGAAGCATCAGAGTATCTGCAGTGCCTGAAAGAATGACATGGAAGGAACCCAAGACCTTAGAATGTTTAAAAGGAGCAGAGGAGAACGCCAGACTGAGGCACTTGGAATAAATTACACACTGCAGGTGGTCAGAAGAAGATTTTTGGAGGGTACATCTATTGCAAGTGGAAATGTGGGTGCACATACTAAACACTGGGTTGCAAGTGTTTAAAACCTCTATCCATTGGCCCTAACAACAGATATAGGCAAGAACACTGCAAGAAATTATATTTAGTGGGTCCTTCAGCATATGTAAATTATCAGTGCAGTGGAGCCAAAAATTTATTAACAACAGCTGAAAATACGGTCCAACTGGTCTTATTTGCATTTCAGTATATAACAGATAATATGTAAATAAACTTCCTCATATGAAATGCATTCCACACAGAAGACAGTAGATATTTTGTTCTGGACTTAAAGGGTTTGTGATATAGCCTCCTATTTTCCTTTCCCACCATTTCTCTTTGCTATGTAGAAACACCAAACACAGGTTTTAAATTTTATAGCAACTTAATTGCCAAAACCTTGCATGAACTGGAACAATTTACATTTTGCCTGTATTTTAAAAAACACCTTTCTATTAATTATCCAGACTGAAACTACCATTTCTGCATAAAAATATTTAAAATTTATATTGTAATGTAAAAAAGTCACCGTGGAAGTTAATTTTACCTGTTGGATTCTTGGTTTTTTTTTTTTTTTGCACTGGAGTTCATTCTTGCGTGAGTTTATTCACAGCATAACAGAAGGGCATTTTTCAATTAAACCATTAAAACAGGAAAATGGCTGTTGCACTATGGTCATTTATCCTCTGATTATAGGAAATCTGAGCTCAGTGCACCTAGGCTAGTACCAGGGGGAAGGTAGAGGGAGACGGTCCAACAGTGTCCCTGTGCTGTGACACGGAAGCTGCATGCAACACTGGGCAGTGCATGTTATTTCCCCTTTTCATCCTCCCAATGGACCCTTCTGCTGTCCATTAATCCACTTCTGTTGGGGAAACTACTCTCCCACCTATATCTCTTCAGCTGTACTTTCCTTAAAAATACAAAATGGTAAATGAAAGGGAATAATGGTCTTTTTTACCTGGTGAATACTGCATTTCTCTGTCAGAGTGCTGCTGCAGTACTTCTAGCGCATCTTCGAAAGCCTGGCCCAGTACATCTTGGTCAGGAAAACTCTGCAAGAACATTTTTCGGTCATGAGCCAGAAAGGACCGGGCTGGTTCTTTCAACATTGTCGGTCGGAGAATCCCGAATAGATACAGTGACTATACAGAATATACATCCTCCTGGAATATGTGTTTTGCAGGCACTGAGGCATTACCATAATCATTTACTATTATGAGAAAGTTCTCACTCCTTTGAGAAGTCTCTTTGAGGTCAGTGGGACAACTCACACGGGTAACGTTACCCACTCGTGCAAATGTTTCAAGGTTCATTTCCTTAATTTGCAGCAGAAGTTTACATAAAGGGTGTTACTGCGATTGGACTGTTTTATAGTATGTAATATTACTTGCGTAACATGATTTATGAAGCCAAATTCATCGTTTAGAAACATTGACACAACAAAAATTATTACGCAGGAGTTATAAAGTAGTTAGGCAGAGAAAATGCTATACTATGCCAGTATAGCAAACTGAGTGTGGATTTCCGGAAAACTATTTATTGTCATTTTAGAACAACTTGTTCTAAAAAGCTAAAAAAATCCCCCCAAATCTGAAATTGCCTAAGGGTTTTCTACAGCATATTTGAAGCACTCAATAATGAAAGAGGATAAAGGCCTTGTAGACTTACCATTATTTAGATATCAAAACTTGAATTCTGTTTAAAAGAAACAATATTTTTAAATTGTATATTTCAAAATAAACAATAATTGTCTCAGTATAAATAAAATTAATTAAATGAAACAACTCCACATTATTTCCAGTGATGGAATAAAAAATGTTTAATAATACAGATAAAAGTAATTTAGGATTAGAAAGTGGTATTTTAATGAAATTAAATAATTGTAACATTGTATTTGTTTTTTTTAATTTGTACTATTTTTCGTTACTAAAGTTTCCAGTTTCATTAATACTGTAAATTTTAGATTGCTATCCACATCATTGTAAACACATTTTTAAAAGATATTATGAAGTGAAAATGTTATTGCTGACAGTCATAGTTAGCACAACTATTAATTTCCCAAAGAAAATACTGATCTGCACAAATGCAAGTGTTTCTAAGACATAGTTGAAACAAACTTAGGTTTTTTCTGTAATGAAGATTAGCATATGACTGTACATGAATACACAAACTCTCAGAGTAACTGTGGGTTCCAGAAGCAGATTTGATTGTTTAATGAACAGTGCAAATAGACACATTTTCAGTTGGTTTAACATGGAGTATACTTCATATACAATGTTACTCAGAAGGAATTCCTTAGTACTTTTTTTATGTGTTACAGATTTATTTGTTACAGGTTATAATGATCAGGTTTTGTTGCCTTGCATTTTTTTCCTGTTCTCATTTACATTATTATTTCAAAATTGTAATAATAATAATAATAATAATAATAATAATATCTTTTACTCATTAAAATATTTATTATAATCTATGGAAAATTTTGGAAATTTTGTCAGTTATTTCAGCAGATGTAAAATTGATGTCTGTGTGATGCTTTAAAATGCAAAGAAGAGTCAAGATACATAAATATAACTAGAAATGAGAAAGAATTTTATCCAAGACTCAGCATGAATGTTCTAAACTGGTAATTATGCCTCAGACAAGTACATTATATAGTACTGTCAAAATTTGTAAAAGTTTTTTTAAATCTTGATGACCAAGCATCTATGATGAAATTCTGGTGATTCAGTAAATTGACCTCACTGAATTCAATGGAATTTTTCTCTTTTATTTCAGTGCAGCAAGTATCTCAATAAACTGATCTAATTTTATTCCAGAACCAGAATGGGCCACATTAATCCTTTAGCTGCAATGGTGGCCACAGCTTCTTGGGGTATAGATCTGTAGAAATTAAAGACATGAATCTCTTTTGTAAAGATCCTCACAGTGTCCCCCTAATTTAAAGTAATTCACTTTTCTTAAATTGCTGATATTTGGTAACCTTGACAGAGCATCTGCAGTTGGTGCACTGTTGGTGTCTCTCAAAGCCTAAAAATGTACAAGCATCAGCAAACTACTGGTGAATGGTTGTACCATTTACACAGCTGAATTCATACTAAAAAAGCAAAAGTCGCACCTTAAGTAAGTTTTAAAAAAAGTCTGAACACTTACCTAGAATTTCAACTCCACACGCCACACAAGAATCTGTCTAGTTTCATAAATAAATGAAAGACTGAGTTCCCACAGCAATAGGCTGGCAAAGGGGCTGCATTAAATAGCTGATTTTAGGGAAGTGTTTTGGCTAGGGATTTTTTGAGAGTAAAGGTATAGCACACTGCTAGCATGGCCCTTCATTCTGCACAAAAGAAGGGCGATTTATACTGATATAAAATAAAATGTTTTAAGTATTGTCCAAGACATGCCAATTCTAGGCACTGGGAGAGATTCCTTTTGGCTACAGCACATCCTAACAAATCTGTCACTGGTGTGTGCACCATGGGCAAAAACCTACATCCCTTATCTGTCCCGTGTAGACTACAGTGGACCCTGAGGTTTTTCTGAACCTCCTGCTTAGCTCAGTGCGAGAAGCTGACCAAATTAGACCCCAAAATAAGAGTTTGAGGGAACTTCAGGACTATGCTTCAGAGCTGATGTTTGTAGCCTAGGGGCAGCTCTAAAGTATTTACTAAAATATTCAGTACAGATTCAGACAAGCTGGTTTGGCACACACTTTCTGAGAAGCTACAAGCCATGATGTTGCATCCTACAGGATGAGAACTCTGTGTTTTTCAGTACAAAAATTCTTACGGCTGACCTAATTTATCCTGTGCCATAGCTCTTTGCAGCCAAGTCTTTCAGAGGCACACTTTGCAAAATTTCCTCAGCATTTGCCATGAAACTGCTGTAAAATAGTAATTACCTCTTACAATATTTATCTGTACTCCCTCAACCAATAACCATAGTCAAGAACTAGCCTGGCTATGAATGCTGAGTGGAAGCAATTTGAAGCCAATGTTAGCACCAACCATTATCTGATGGTTTCAGATGCAGTCTGCCTTTTCAAAATTTGCACCACAAAGTTTCAGAATATAATTTTTTTTTAAAAAAAAAATACACATATGTGGTTTTTTTGAACTACAGGTTCCATTTTGTAGTGCTTCTCTGGTGTGACTTGGGCTTACAGAGGGAAAAAACTGGCAACTGTGCTCTTAAAATATCAAAATGTGACTCAGCACTGGATTTCAGCCCAAAATATGATTACACAATTAACTTCCTTTCCACATACAGTTATCTTTACTTTGCAACGTGGAAAAGCATAGATTTCATGGTTCAGTTCTTTCTTGAAGTAGAAGTATGTATTGGATTTAAAATTATAAATGAGCTTCAAGATGCCTCCTGGCCTCCTTTGGGTAAATAATGTGCTAATAAGCCCTCTGATGATGCAATCTGACCTGCCTATTCCTACATATCTACCTGAAGCTGCGCAGTTACTGTTCTGCCCTCCTGTGCTCCCCACTCATCCTAGCCATGAAACTGCAGGGACGGCCCCTGCAGAGGAGGTTAGGGTTGTCCTGTGCTGGTCACAGCCAATTCCAGCTGGCTCTGCAATGGACCCACCAGGTGCCAAAACAGAGCTCATCAGCCATGTCTGTGGCGCCTCTGTGAAAACATACCGAGGAAAGGGCAGAAAATGCCAAAAGTGAGGAGACAAACCTGGGAGAGAACACAAGAGGGGACAAGGAGAGAAACAGGGGAATGAAGGGACAACTCAGAGGAGTTGGAGGTGTTCCGTGGCTGAGCAGGCACACCCTAAGAGGGACTGTGGCCCACAGAGGGCCCAAGCTGGGGCAGAGGAGACAAGTGAGAAGGAAGCAGCAGTGGAAGAACAGGGTGAGAAACACAGAGAGGCAGAGAGAAACCGCTATGTCCTGACCCCTGAGTGTAACCTAGGGGAGATAACAAGAGGGGAGGAGATGTGTCTGGAGTGCAGTTGAGCCTGGGAAAGAGGAAGGAAAGATGCTTTAATGTTTGTCTTCTTCGCTTCCCAACACCCAAATCAGCAACTAAATATATTATGGCAATAAATTAAATTAAATTCCCAAAGTGCGCGAGCAGCTGTGTTGGTGTGTGACTGTTGGCCGGGGCCAACACACCCCGGTAGTAAAAGAGGGTGAAGGTTGAAAGATTAAAGCTAAGGGGTTTAACACCATTAAAACAATCAATCTTTCTAAATAAAATTGCTCAATCAGAATGTTCTCATTTCAAATAGGAGGCTACACCATAAGGCAGGTAAGCAAAAGGTTTGTTTTCAGAGGAAACGGGAAGGTGCCATACATAGCACAAACACACAGCATAAAACCAAGGGCAAATGCTGTCTCCATAGGGTAGATTTAAACTCCGTAACCCATTTGCACATTGCATCTTTGGCCTGTCACAAGCTCAGAGAGAGGTCTCAGGCTACCTCCCTGGGAAGCCTGTGAGGGTTCGGAAGAAGCAGAGTAAGGCACAGCTCAGGACTGAGCGCCAGCTAACCCTGACTGCTCACTCCTCAACAAATCACAGTACAGTCACGGCAGACAGTGTGTTGGCCTCTACCAAGAAATGTTATTACAGAAGAAAGCCTGCTTTGATTTTTGCATTGCATGGGAAGATGGATTCCAGACACAAGCCTGAGAAAATGAACTTACTATTCGCATTTTAATGTCTCCAACAATTGATGGGCCTGATATCAAAATTTGAATATCAGTTAGAAACCACAACATCAAGCTCTTCTCCTTCCTCCATGTTTTAAAAATAAACTTCCAGCAACAGAATGATTGTTTAAGTTTCAGAACTTTCTTTCATCCTTGTTTGGCACTCTAAGCTAGCTCATAGTAATGGTATAGAAGAAGCATTTTCACCTCTCTGAATAAAAGACAGAACTAAATAATGTATTACAGCACTTGTCAGAGGGCTCGAGAAAACATAAAGACTCTCGCATGAGGCATTGTTCAAATGTAGAGTAAAAAACAGTCTCTCCCTTCCTAAAGGAATGTAAAACTTCAAATGGCAAGTTTTCTCGGAGCTTTCTCAGATTTTATTTGAA